CAGTGGCACAATCTTTTAGATCACCTGAGCTCCATGTTTCAGGTATGTTTCTTGTGGGTTATGTGCACCCACTTGTAGTTGAGTGTTGAATATTTTTAGGCCATTCATGAGTGGAGTTAATTCTTCATGCTGACTGACTATAAGGGGAAAACTCAATCATCCTGTGTGAGACATTATGCAGAAGTGTCCCTCTCAAAATAGAGTTGTTCCCTGCAGGGTCTGGTGCCTGCCCGAATCCCGTTTTGCATGTGCCACTTGTGTGGCTAGTTGTGTCTTGCTCTGGTATAGTCTGATGCTCACCATTGGTTGTGTTGGTTCTGGATCCACTCGGGCAAGGTTCACATACCGGTACAGGTCAGACATGATATATAACCAGCCTTGGGCTACCTGTCTGGAGTTACCACCCAGTTCACTGTTTGTGGTTGTGTCTACTGGGTCTGGGTGTGCATTGGAGGGGCCAATCTGTGTATAAGGTTTGGAGTCCTCTAGCTTAGAGTTGGGGGCAGATCTGTAAAAGGCTCGAGGCTTCCTGAGGTCTGTCTCCGCCTGTCAGTTACTCCAACTACTCCTGAGGTTGCCTTGTCTTCCTCCTTCCAAAGAAAGACTGTAGTGTGGGCTCAGGTTGGCCACAAATTAGAGGCCCTTCCATAGGTTGCAAGTCTGGTGTGGTGGGGCATCTGGGGTTGGGAGGTCAGGGCCAGTGGGTCCCCTACTTGGGGGTTATACGGTCAGGCAACTAATGAGGGGAAAGTGATCCCTCCTCCAGAGCCAAACTACTCAGTCCATGCCAGAGTCTCTAACTCTGGTTCCCTAAGGAGGGGCATGCCACAGGTTCAGGTTGGGTGCAGCCAGCATGCCCGCCCATCTACAGGAGTAAACTCAGCCATCCTGGGCTCAGGGAGACAGATCAAAAGTCTCCCATTGGGGGTGATGCCAGCATAGTCCACAGGAGGGAGCTAAGCACATCATCTTGGTCCCAGACAATAGCCTCCACGTTCCTCACACCTAGAATATTCCAGCTCTGAGCCGTTCTCCCTTACCCCATCAGAACTGAGACTAGCTGGGCGGGGTATCTGGGACTTGGCAGGGCTGGTCCTAACAGTCTCCTGTTGGGGGTGTTGCCCACAAGCCTGTAGGAGGGGGCGGGCACTTTTTCACCTTCCCAGGGTAGTGCAGGCTAAAGGATAGTGCAGGCTGAGCTAGTAAAGAGAAAGGAGTGCCCCCTGCCCTGGCAATGTGGTGTGTACCACAGCACCTGGCTGTCTGGTTCCTGTACAAAAGCTTCCCCAGGAAACATACTCTGAAGGTTCCAGCTCTGCATGGCACTCCTGTTTTCCTATGTAGGTGAACTCAGCAGTACAGGACCCACCGAGTGATTCAGCAGGTGGGGGGAAGGGCACCAGCTATGCACTCGAGATGGGGGAGACCTGTCCTTTTTCCAAAGCTGTACATTTTAGTCACTGTCTGAGTCTCCGCTAAGAACCTCCCTAGAAAAAGAGGGCCATGAAAGTCTGTGCTGGGTGACACCTCCAGATGACCTGAGTTTGGCAAATTGCCCTAGATAGCAGTTGGGGCCAGACAGTGTACTCCCCAGGCTGGTGCTGTGACCATAGGAGTTCTCATTCCTGGGAAGATGGCATCTGGGTCTCCCAGGCAAACTGAATCCCCAGTGATTTTCACCACCAGATGCTATACGTGCTCCTCTTCCCATCTCTGTTCCTCTGGGTTTGGGATCCCTGTGGAGGGTGGTGCAGAGTTTTGCAGCACAATACCCTTTGTCTTCTTACCCACCATACCTGGGTACAGAGGCCAGCCCTTTCCTTGCCTCTGCCCTTCTTACCAGTCTCTAGGTGGCTTATTCTGTAAATCCTTGGTTATAATATTTCATTTGGTTATTCAAGTTTATTGCTCTACAATTTAGCTGTAAATCTGGTTTAGGGCTGGGAGCAGGTGAATGTAGCTTCCACCTATTCTGCCATCTTGGAATCCACTTTTAGTCATTTTTTAAAGGTCAGCTTTTTAAAGAGGAACTTCTTCCATCATTTATTCCATAAAAATGTTTTGAGCATTAAGCATTGTATTATCTATTGCTATCATACAAATTACCCCTAAACCCTAATGGCCTTAAGTGACAAACATTTATATCTCGCAGTCAAATGCAGCTTAGCTGAGTGGTTCTGGTTCATGGTTTCTTAGGAATTATCATCAAGATGATGGTTAGGCCACAGTCATTGCTTGACTGTCCTGGAAGATTTGCTTTTACGATGCCTTACTCAGGGGGCCATTGGCTTTTGGCAGGAAGCCTCAGTTGCTCGCCAGGTGGACCTCTCCCTCGGGTCGTTTGATAGAGTCTCCAAGCCTGCGATCCAAGAGAGACAGCAAGGAGGAATCGGTAATGCCTGTGACGATCCACAAGCTGTGCACCAGCACTCCCACCACATCCTGTTCATTAGACATGTGTCACTAGGTGTAGCCCACACTTAAGGGGAGGGCAGGTACGCTCCATTTTTTGAAGGAAGGAATATTAGAGTTCATGGACATTTGAAAACCACCACAACTATATGCTTCCTTTTATCTTCTCATTTTGAGTTGTTTGCCATTTATATCTTAAAACAGTGTTTCCCAGATAATTAAAAATACAATTTTTTTAAATATGGAGAAGCAGAATTGCAATTTCACCATTACTAGTACTAGTTTCTTTTGATACAATTTATATTTTTAATTAACTTAGAAGCCATTATCAGACACACACAAATATGCACAACTCTCTCTCTCTCCTCTGCTTGCTTTATTTTTCTCTGTAGCACTTTCCTACTTACTTTATCCCTCCCTCTGCTCCAGCCACACTAGCTTCCTTACTGTTCCTTGGAATTTAGCAGACATCTTTTGCCTTTAGGACCTTTGCTGTTCGCTGTATCTTCTGCCTGGAGTGTTGACCCTGATTTTTATATGGTTGACTTGCTCCTTCCTTTAAGTCTTTGCTCAAAGGGCTCCTTTTCATGAGGACTTCCCCAATCACTCTATTTAAAATTCTAACCTGTTCCTTCATAAACACCCCAATTGCCTTAACTCTGCCCTTTTTTTCTATTGTACTATATAATTTATTTGTTAGGTTTGTTTTTTATTGTCTACCCAGCTGGAATATAACATCCCCAAAGGCAGGGATCTTAATTTATTTTGTCCACTTTTTTATATGTCCAGTGCAAAGAACAGATGTGAGTGCTCAATATATATTTTTTGAACAACACACTCACTATCTGACATATATTTTACCAATATCTTTTGTTTTTCTCTTTTTAAGTAGAATGTCAGCTTCATGAGGACAGAGATTTCTGTCTATTTTATTTACCACTAGATCTAGCATATAGCAAAATGTCAGGCACATGGTCCTCATTAAACATTTGTCAAATAAATGAACAAACTGGGTTAGCATCTTTTCATTTTGTTTTTCAGAGCAGAATCAGCATTATGTTTTTTATATGTAAAGTAATACATATCTATTATTAAAGATTTTCACCTATATAAAATAACATCTACTGTAATCATACACTGTAATAACTAGACAAAATCCATCTTCCTCAGTTTATATGTTACTAGAGGACCAGCGGCGCCCCGCCTCCCGCCGTGCGAGGAGGCGCCCTGTGGGTGGCCAGGGCCCACCCTGTGGGTGGCTAGGACCCACGCCTGACTCGCACAGGCTGCCATGCGAGTCAGGCCTGACTAGAGCCGCAGGCAGCCAGGACCTGCGCCTGACTTCTGCCCCAGGCCCCTTCTGCCCCCCTGCCTGTGTCTGCTTGGACCCCCCCCCCCCCCCCCCCCCCCCCCCCCCGCGTCTCTGTCTCTATCTCTGCTCTGGGCCTCACCTGTGCGTGCAATCTCCTTCTGTCTGGTCATGACCCATTAGGGTGTCTTGGCCTAATTTGCATATTACCTCTTTTTGTGTGTGCATATATATAGAGAGAGATTAATTTTCTTCCATCTGCATATAGGATATTTGTATATAAATTTATTTTTTACAAGAATGTGTCATACTAAATAAAACTTGTGGCCTTGTGGAGGTTTAATACTAATTTAGTATGGATATCTGTACACACAACTCAATATTTATCCTTTTTTTTAGTGTCTACATAGTAGTATAATTAAAGCACTGAAAATTGTCTATCCAAATAACTATACATAAGCTTACCCAAACTGTATATGTTATGTCTCATACCATAAAAACCCTTAATATTTCATAAAAGTATGACTTCCAGAGACATCTTAGAAAAGTACTTTAGTCAAAAGAACAAATGAGGCACAGTAGTCCTAGATTATATTTAAAAATAGTACATTTAAAAAAATTAAATATAGTACATTTAAAATATAGTACATTTTAGTTTAGAATAATGAGAGGTTTATGAATTGAGAAATAAATTAAACTAGCTTGCCAACTTTCAGCAGAGAGCTTTAAACTTTGCATAAAAACATATTCACTGGCCTCTAGGAACATACAATTTAGTTATAGACTAAACTAAACTATAACTATGGGGAACTATACTATGAGACTGGGTATGTTTGATGTCATAAATCTTATACAAAAAGATTTTGTGGGTTGGATTGAACTAAGCTATTAAGAATTCAAAGGAAAAGACAATCATTTCTGAACATGGGTGATATGGGAAAACTTTTAACATCCTAGTCATTCTTTTATTTCTTCCATATTATTAGCTTCAGGATTATAATTAGTATTGACATTTTTTCTAGTTTGTGGGGAGTAATTTAAAAAAATGTCAATATTTTATACAATACATTAGCTAATTCAAAGAAACTATTATACTTCATCCTAGGTCCTTTTACCATCAAATGTAGGAAAACATAAAGAGGTGGAGTATTGTTTCTTTTGTAAAATATTCACTGCATGTTTTTATTTTTAAGTGGCTTGCTTTTTATATTCTCTTTTTCCAGTTAAATCAGTTTACATATTTAAAATCCAAATAATTTTTTTCTGGCTTGATTTTCAGATTGAACTCATTTCCCAGCAAAATAATATAATAGTATTGGAAGATACAAGAAAAAGACTTAGATCTGTAAGTGCCTTTTATATGTTATGTAATAATTTTTATTTTTGTTAATATAGTAAAACTATAAAAAATTGTACATATGTTTTGACTCTAATGATTTTGTGAACAGTCAAAAAATGTTTGTGTTCTACAGTCAGCCTCTGCTTGGTGCACAGGGTACTCCCATGTGTAAGAGCAATGCTGTTCTTGCTCCATTTCATCGTTACTCCTTGCTCTCCTAGAGAGAACTTTTGGTTAGTTTTAAGTATCAATGCCCTTCGCTGTTAACTGACTTAAAATGATAACTGTGAGTAATTTAATTCTCAACATGTAAGATGCATTTGTCTACGTATTTTCTTTTTCCTAGTAAGAAATATCTGTTATGTCAAGTTTTGTTGTTTAGTTCTAGGTAATATGTTTACTTTAACAATGTGAGATGAAAACTGCTCTGTTTAGACATTTTCATTTTATTATTTAAAATATTTGAAACACCTTCTCTGTAAGTATATCTGTTATTTCCTCCCAATATAGCATTGGTAAAATAAATATAAAAGAAATGTTTCTAAATATGCTAAAGTGAATGGGAATGCACTTGAAAGTTCTTATAACTATAGAATATCCAGTATTCCTTTAATTTATTCATTCCTTGAACAATTATTGCACAAAACTTAGATGCTATACAAGTTTTTCTAAGCAAATTAATTTTATTTTTAGGATTTATAACTGTCCTTTGGACATTTCTGGCCTCTCTGAAATTTCTTTATTTTCTTTTCAAAATTATTGGGTAAATTTAGGAGTACTTTTAGTTAAATCAAAATATAGAACATTCAGAAATGCTGGGAAAGAACGAAAACTAACTGCTTTTTTTAAAGTGTGGTTTTTCAAAGTTAGAAGGTAAGGGAGGGTGGGGGTCAGGGGGAGAGATCAACCAAAGGACTTATATGCAAGCATATAGGCCTAACCAATGGACACGGACAACGGAGGGGTGAGGGCATGAGCGGGGGGTAGGGGATAATGTGGGGATAAGGACACATATGTAATATCTTAATCAATAAAAAATATATTAAAAAATAAAATTTAAAAAAAACACCACACTGCCGAAACCGGTTTGGCTCAGTGGATAGAGCGTCGGCCTGTGGACTCAAAGGTCCCGGGTTCGATTCCAGTCAAGGGCATGTACCTGGGTTGCGGGCACATCCCCAGTAGGAGATGTGCAGAAGGCAGCTGATCGATGTTTCTGTCTCATCGATGTTTCTGACTCTCTATCTCTCTCCCTTCCTCTCTGTAAAAAATCAATAAAATATATTAAAAAAAAACAAACACCACATTTATTACCCTACCTGGTTTAGCTCAGTGGAAAGAGCATTGGCCTGTGGACTGAAGGGTCCTGGGTTCAATTCTGGTCAGGGGCACATGACCAGGTTGAGGAATCGATCCCTAATGGGGACATGCAGGAGGCTGCTGATCAATGATTCTTTCTCATCATTGATGTTTCTATCACTCTCTCCCTCTGCCTTCCTCTCTGAAATCATTAAAAATATTTTTTTTAAAAAGACCACATTTATTATGTTTAAGAATCCTGTGTGTGTTCAACTTGATGTAGAAAATGTTGCTGTAGTTTAGCTTGAAATATTGGCCTGATTTTTTTCTCCCTGGCAAGATAATTATAGAGACTAAAACATCACAAAATAAATCTCCTTCCAGACTCAATTCCTTTATCAAGACCTTAGAAGCAGACAAAGATCAAAGATCACTACAAGAGTGAAGCTCAAAACTTGAGAAAATGATCAGAAGTAGATCCAAAAGTCCAAGACGCCTGTCACCATCTTCCCGGGTAAGTTTTGGAAAGTTATAAATATTTTGGAGTTTATTGCTCAAACACTGACTTTTATTCTTTAATATACCTAATCTGGAAACAATTCAGGTTGATTGGCATGAATTGGTATATCAAAGATGTTGGGAGACAGAGTTCTCTTTGATGGACAGTGGACCATTGAAATTGGTTCTTTATCCTCAGTATTTGTCATAGTTAGGAGGTAATCAGATAAATGTGGAGCAATTTGGAATGAAGCTGTTTAAAAGCGAGGTGATTTTTAAAATTTTTTCCATCATTTCCTTTCTTTATACCATCATGATTGCTTAAGTAAAGGCTGTGAACTGCCATCATATTAAAGAAGTACTTCACATTTCTTGTCTCATAATTGTAGGCTACACACTGTGATGTAGAGCTTTTGAAGACCACACGAGACCGTGAAGAACTTAAGTGCATGCTGGAAAAATATGAGCGTCATTTGGCAGAAATTCAGGGTAATGTCAAGGTTCTTACATCTGAGAGAGACAAGACCTTTCTTCTTTATGAACAGGTAAACTTGTTTACAAGGAAACAAAATATATAAGTAATAACAGTTAACTCTAGAGATATGTAATTCTTTAGGTATGCTTAAATCTGCCAATCAAATTACTTTAACTACCAGTTAGGAATTACCTTCATTCTTAAGGTATTTTTAATGAAATATATTTCCAATACAGTATATGTGTGCACAGATACATATGTTATCCCCATACCCATATAAGGTCATATACATGCATAGAAATAGTCTGATTTTTGGAAAACGAAATGGAGAAAACATTAAATAGAAAGATATGTTGAGTTTAAGGTAAAAATATTTGAGTTTGGAGATTAAAAAATTGTAACATATCATTTTTAATGTACTATCAATTACTTAGGAACTGCAATATAACTTAATTTCAGAGAGTAAAATCAGTTTATCTCTATTTTTAGCTTAAAATTAATACCTCTATTAACCAAATAGTTTCTTTATTTCACAAATATTAAACACCATATATTACCAGCATAATATTTTAAAAATATCAAATTCAATTAAGAATTACAGCAGTTTTGCACAGGGTGATAGGCTTGCCACTGTAAGAGAAAAAAATAATCATAAGATGGAACATTGCCAGTTTGGTTTTTTTGAAGTTTTAAAGTTCACCTTAGTGGGTTGTATTTTAATTTAAAGTCAAGCTTACTCATTGCTTTTTATTTTATTTTATTATTTTATTTTTTGAATATATTTTTATTGATTTCAGAGAAGAAGGGAGAGGGAGAGAGATAGAAATATCAATGATGTTAGAGAGTCATTGACTGGCTGCCTCTTGAACGCTCCCTCCTGGGGTTCAAGCCTGCAACCTGGGCATGTGCCCTTGACCGGAATTGAACCTGGGACCTTTCAGTCCACAGGCTGATGCTCTGCCATTAAGCCAAACCAGGTAGGGCACTCATCTCTTTTTAAATAACTACAGTGACTTTGGATACCATGATTATGTGGCCTGTTTGCTTCATTTAATATGGGAAGGCAGGCTAATAAGGTTAACTATTTTGCCCAAGAACAGCAGGAATCAGTCAAGATTATCTGACTCCTGTTTGGGTCTGCTCTTTGCCATTTAATTAAGCTTATTATAGGAGAATTGGCCCAGGGGGAAATGGATCTGTCTGGGCATATATCTTAATATGTAAAATAAATGCCCAGAGTATATAGTATACTATAGAATCCTTTTGGTTAAATCACAGTGCTCTTTTCTTTCACTCTAATCTCAATCTTACTAACTTTTTTCTTTCTCAGCATTGTCTTTTATTATAAAGTTTTAAACATTATATTAGCTATTTAATGGATGACACATGATATTCTCTTCCCTAATTAGCTTTCTTATTTTTAGTTTGAGCAATTTAAAAAGCAACTACTACTTCTAAGTGTGTGGGGTGATTACTTGGTTTGATTGGAATTCCCTGGTGTCTGTGTCTGTACCATGAAACCTGAGTCAGTGTACATACACATGATTAATGGGTCAGAACTGCTAAGGGGCAGGAGAGACCTTTAATGAGAACTCTGTGCGTATGAGTGTAAGATGTGAGATTTTACTGAAACCTCTGGATAGAAAATCCTATACTTGCATAAGTATACTTTGTTAGTGATCCTCAAATTTTTGCTATATTCCTTCTCTTCAGACAATTTTATTTTATTTTAAATATATTTTTATTGATTTCAGAGAGAAAGGGAGAGGATTAGAGAGATAGAAACATCAATGATGAGAGAGAATCATTGATCAGCTGTCTCCTGCACACCCCACACTGGGGATCGAGCCACCAAAATGGACATGTGCCCTGACCGGAAATTGAACCATGATCTCCTGGTTCATAGGTCAACAATCAACCACTGATCCAGGCCGGTTGGGCATAAACAATTTTATATTGAGATTTGAAGTGTAAATCTATACTAATAAAAGGGTAATATGCTAATTAGACTGGATAGACTAGACATCTTCTGGACGTCCTTCTGGACAAAGCCATAGTGACAGGGGCCAAGGCAGAGGTGGTTAGGGGTGATCAGGCAGGCAGGCAGAGCGGGTAGGGGTGATCAGGCTGGTAGGGGAGAGTGATGGTTAGGGGCAATCAGGCCAACAGGCAGTTGAGGCAGAGGTGGTTAGGGGTGATTAGGCAAGGAGGCAGAGGTGGTTAGGGGCAATCAGGCAGGCAGGCAGAGGTGGTTAGGAGCAATCAGGCAGGCAGAGGGGTTAGGAGCGATCAGGCAGACAGGCAGTTGAGGCAGAGATGGTTAGGGGTGATCAGGCAGGTAGGCAGAGATGGTTAAAGGCGGTCAGGCAGGCTTGAAGAGTGGTTAGGGGTGATCAGGCTGGCAGGCAGGCAGGTGAGCGGTTAGGAGCCAGCAGTCCAGATTGCGAGAGGGATATCCAACTGCTGATTTAGGCCCGATCACTGCTGGATCGGGCCTAAACCAGCAGTCGGACATCCCCTGAGGGGTCCCGGATTGGAGAGGGTGCAGGCCGGGCTAAGGGACTCCCTCCCCTGTGCATGAATTTCATGCACTGGGCCTCTAGTTAGTTAATAAGAAGCTAGTGTGAGCTACTGCACTGCCTCATTAATCCAGGAAGCACAGTTTGAAAACATTCAGACACTGTTTTCTTTGTTGGCAGTCTTATTGGGGAGATAAGGTATATCGTTGTATTTGGTGGCTATTTTTTGTTAGTTTAGCATAGCATAAGTAGTTTAAAGATATTGAAAAATAAAATAAGTGGGTATTTTTCTTTATGGTGATCAAGGAAATATTCACTAGACTATGTAGAGTTTGAGTCCTGAGGGATGTATGAATGGGTTTTCTATTATCTTGAAAGGGATAAGAAGGAACATTCAGATTAAAGAAATGATGTGAGGCACATGATAAAGGCAGGGAAATCACAGGCAAGTGATTCATTCAAAGACAGCATCAAAGGTATGTGACAGTGGAGGACGGGGGAGCCGACACTTGTGAGGTAGATTGAACTAGAGCAGCAATCTGCAAACGTGTCTGTGAAGGCCCAGGTAATAAATATCTTGGGCTCTGCAGGCCATGATCTCAGTCATAGCGATTCAGCTCTGTTTTTGTGGTACAAAAGCATCCACACATGATATACAAATGAATATGTTTGCTCTGTTACAATATAACTTTATTTATGGACACTGAAAATTGACTTTCATATTATTTTACCCGTTATGAAATGTTTTTCTTCTTTTGATTATTTTCAACTATTTAAAAATGTAAAAATATTATCAGCTTATAAACTTACAAAACACAGGAGGCTTGCTGGATTTGGCCTGTGAGATTTGGTATAGTTTACTAGCTTCTGGACTATATGGTGGAGTCTGTTCAAGGGCATTACAAGTAGTTTATACTTTGCTTGATAAGCAATGCGCAGCTTATTTTTTTTAAAGCAGAAAAAATGTAACTAAAGCCTCATTTTTACATTTTTAATCTGGTAAGAATTTTATATTATCTTCTTTATCTCATACACAATCTTTATATGTTACCTTTTTATATAACAACTAGAGGCCCGGTGCACAAAAATTTGTGCACTGGGGGGGGGGGGTCCCCCAGCCTGGCCTGTGCCCTCTCGCAGTCTGGGACCCTCGGGAGATAACGACCTGCTGGCTTAGGCCTGCTCCCGGGTGTCAGAGGGCACGCCCAATCCCTAGGTGCAGCCCCTGGTCAGGCTCAGAGCAGGGCCGATTGGGGAGTTGGGGTGCCGCCCCCTGTCATGCACAGAGCAGGACGGATCGGGGGGTTGTGATGCCACCCTCAGTCACGCTCAGGGTAGGGCCGATTGGGGGGTTGGGGCACCGCCCCCTGTCACACTCAAGGCAGGGTCGATGGGGAGGTTGTGGCGCCATACCCTGTCACAGAGCAGGGCCTATTAGGGGGTTGGGGAGCTCCCCCCTGTCATGCACAGAGCAGGGCCCATCAGGGGGTTGAGGAGCTCCCCCCTGTCATGCACAGGGCAGGGCCGATCAGGGGGTTGAGGAGCTCCCCCCTGTCACTCACAGAGCCGCAGGGTGATCAGGGGGTTTGGGCGCTGCCCCCTGTCACGCTGATCCCGGTGCCAGGAGGCATATTACCCTTTTACTATATAGAATAGAGGCCTGGTGCATGGGTGGGGGCCGGCTGGTTTGCCCTGTAGGGTGTCCTGGATCAGGGTGGGGGTCCCCACTGGGGTGCCTGGCCAGTCTGGCTAAGGGGCTGAGGGCTGTTTTCAGGCTGGCGGGTGACTGAAGCTCCCAACTGCTCCTTTTTTTCTTTTTTTTTCTATTCTGGGCCAGCTTTAGCTCTGAGGCCTCGGCTGTTGAAAGCAGGTTTCTGGCCTTTACCTTCTGTATTTGATACAATGTTGCAGTCCGGCTGACTGAAGCCCGCTGACTGAAAGCCGGTTTCTGGGGTTTTGTTTAGCTTCTATATTTGCAACATAGTTGCTTAGAGTTGCAGCTGAGAGGCCGGCAAGTCAGGCGGGGAACGTTGGAGTCCGCCATCACTGGAGCAAACAAGCCTCCCTGTTCGCTTCAGTGCATGGCTGCTGGCCGCCATCTTGGCTGACAGTTAATTTGCATAAGGATATGCTGATTAGCCAATGGGAAGGGTAGCGGTCATATGCTAATTACCATGTTTCTCTTTTATTAGTGTAGACTAGTGACCCATGCATGAATTCATGCACATTGAAAGGAAATTAATTAGAAGATGGCTGGCAGGTGGGACTGGGTGAGATGGGCTGGATATGTCCTGGAGTCAACCTCCCATGGTTGCTCCCCAGTGTCTGCTGAATGAGTGGGGTCCCTCTGGCAGGTGGGGTCCCTCAGCCTGGTCTGCAGGGATTGGGCCGAAACTGGCTCTCTGACATTCCCCTGAGTGGTCTTGGAGTATGAGAGGGCACTCTGCAAAGTTGCTGTTGTACAGGTTATGTAACGCAAACACAAGTGTGCAGTAAACCAGTGCCCCAGCAACATCATAACCCATGGCTGAAGGTGGTATCACGTGGCCCCAAGAGGAATCAGGCTCTCTCCTCTCTGGTTTTGGGGTGTGTCACCCAAGAACCGCCACTGCCAATTCACTGCAGCTTTGCAGCTCTTGCATTGAGTGTCTGCTTCCTGGTATTCAGTGTGCATCATAGTGATCAGTCAGATGGAGGGAAGGGACACTTAGCATATTAGCCTTTTATATATGTAGATTTCTCCTTCAAGAGAACTAGAGGAGGGAGAAACCATGGACTTTTTAGAAGGCTGTTGTAGTAGTCCATGTATGAGGCATTTATGGACTGGGCTAGGATGCTGCCAAGGAAGACTTAACAAGATTTGATTCTAGCCAAATGGAGGGAGGAATGGAAATGTCTGAAGTTCTGTTTTGAATGACTGAAGAAATGTGGTAATAGAAAAAGAAATAGGGAAGTCATTGGTGATATGATGGAAAAGATGTGTTTTGTTCAGATAGATGGAGTACATTCAGGTAGGAATCGCCATCAGGCACCAAGAAATGTAGGATGGGAGCCCTGACCGGTTTGGCTCAGTGGATAGAGCGTCAGCCTGCGGACTCAAGGGTCCTAGGTTCGATTCCGGTCAAGGGCATGTACCTTGGTTGCAGGCACATCACCAGTAGGGAGTGTGCAGGAGGCAGCTGATTGATGTTTCTCTCTCATCGATGTTTCTAACTCTTTATCCCTCTCCTTCCTCTCTGTAAAAAATCAATAAAATATATTTTTTTTAAAAAAAGAAATGTAGGATGGGAGTAGGGAGAAAAGCAAGAGGTGAATATTTCAATTTAGAATTCATCTGCCTAGAGGTGAATTTTGGGCCTTCAAAGTGGGTGAGGTCTCTGAATGAGAAAGCTATATACAGAGGATCTTGGGAAGTTTTATTGGATTGGAAAGAGAGAAAGAAGATAGGAAGCTAAGGCAGAAAAATGGTAAAAGACCAAGGGAGGGAATTATATCAAGAAGGGAGTTCAAAACAATGTCAAATGTTGCCAAAGTATCAAAAACAAGAACTGAGAAAAGGCCATTAGATTTGTTCAGGTCATTAGTTGAAATTCTGCAAAATGTGGGAGCCAGGTTACAGTGGGGTGAGAAAGTGGATAGTAAGGAACATGCCATGGTACAGACACTAAAACAAAGGAGAGAAAGAGAGAGTCATAGGTTGGTAAATGGGCACAACAGGATTAAGTGCCAGGTTTTCAAGATATGGGAGCCCTGTGCATGGTTGAAGGCAGGGGAGAAAGAGCCAGTACAGAGAGTGCTACTCATAGTGAGAGGAAATGATTATAGTTGAGTCAGGGATATCTTAGAAGACACTTCAGGAGATGAGGTCCAGGATTCTGGTGAAGGCTTAGCTATGGAAATTGGGAAGTAACATATTTTCCTCTGAGACTTGGAGACTAGTTGAGTAGGTAGTGATTACAATAGAGAGGAAGATATGTGCTTAAGCCCCAAAGTAGGATATGAAATCATCTGAAGGCATAGAATAGATTTAGAACCAAGGATGGTTGAACAGCATGTAGAGAGTATGTTGGGTTGTCATTAAAGATTAGTGGGCCTTTCTGTCAAGGTAAAGGTATCTAGTTCATGACTATGGCATATACATTTATGTAGAGAAAGACTGTAACACTATGATAATATTTATCAAACCAGTGTTTTACCTGAATTCTCTAATATATGCTGAATTCATGTTTATATCACAAGATGGATGGTGTATATCATATATAACTTACTAAATATTTCTCTTGCATTGACTGACCCCAAATTAATTTCTTAAAAATTTTTGGCAAAGGTCTTGGAAAGCAAAATTCTGTTTGTAAGCATTTGCATTTTGGGGGCATCATTTGCATTTATTTGGATAAAGTCAAAATTATAACATTACCCTACTCCATGGCTGTTGCTAATAGGTTTGGATTTCAACAACTGTATATAAAGCTGTATTTGTGTCTGTTCTAAACAGGAGTCTGTCTGTGTATTTAAATAATAGGCGCAGGAAGAAATTGCCCGGCTTCGCCGAGAAATGATGAAGAGCTGTAAGTCTCCTAAATCAACAACTGCACATGCCATCCTCCGGCGGGTGGAGACTGAAAGAGATGTAGCCTTCACTGATTTACGAAGAATGACCACAGAACGAGATAGTCTGAGGGAAAGGCTAAAGGTTTGAGAGAATTTTATCTATGTGAACATTTGTGAAACACGACACAGTGACATTGAAAATGCTTTGTTTTGTTTTTGTTTTTTTAACCAGATTGCTCAAGAGACAGCGTTTAATGAGAAAGCTCACTTGGAACAGAGGATAGAGGAGCTGGAGTGTACAGTTCATAATGTAAAGAAAAGTTACTTTTGCACTTTTGGCTGTAAACTGTCAGTGACTTTCCCTTTTCCTTTTTTACTTATGTCCAGAGAGGTTCTTTTTATTTTTCTATGCTAGGGTTTCTAATCCTAAAATACTGAAGGTGAGAGATTATGTGTGTGTATATGTGTGTGTGTGTGTGTGTGTGTGTGTGTGTGTGTGTGTGTATGTGTGTTTGTTGTAAACTGTTTATTCCTTTTAAAAATGAGAGTATAATATTTTTCATGTTAGGTTGCAAAATGGCTGTAAAAAAAATTAGGGATGCGTTCTCAGAGATTTTAGCACAATTTTCATCTCTGTATTTCATTACAGAGAACATTTCCAGATACAGGGAAACTGGATTATTCTACCTAAAGAGTAGCTAGAGTAGAGAAAATGATGGTGAAATGAAAACTAATGAGAAAAATATATGTAAACTGAATTTAAATGTGAGGCATCACCTTTTTTATTAATGAAGGATTTGAGATGCTATATTTGAGATATTATGACTATATAAACAGAATTAATGGAATTTGACTTTCTGTTAGCAAATTTAATTGTATGCATTTATAAATTCATCTGTACTATGTTTTTATAATGAGTAAAAAATGCAGTAGATAGGGGAGCAGTAATCTTGTCATTCTACTTGTGTAGCTTGATGATGAACGTATGGAGCAAATGTCAAATATGACTTTGATGAAGGAGACCATAACCACTGTGGAGAAAGAAATGAAATCACTAGCAAGAAAGGCAATGGATACCGAAAGTGAACTTGGCAGGCAAAAAGCAGAGAATAATTCTTTGAGGTAAACTAAACTGCCTTTGAACAACGAATGGTTTATTATTAATGACTCTGCTTTTTGTAGTATATTTTATAATGGTAATTAAGTTATTTGTTGACTTTAATTGAGGGGAAGATTATTACGAAGCAGTTGTAGAAGTCTCAGCATACATTAAATGATTTCCCCATGATCAATCGCAGACTGGTAATGCCACACCTAACCAGGACTCAAATTTAGTAATCTCAGTCTCACATAAGGAGAAAGCCTGAATGTTTAACTAAAACAGCTTTTACAAAGCCATTCTGGGCACAGTGCATGTTTCACTTAGCATTTGATTACTAATTTACCTTTATAACTCAAATTATGTTCTGGGATCTGAACAGTGTAAGAACACACACAGTACAGGTTTTAGAGCAGCTTAGAATATAAGAAAAAGTCATAGCAGAGAAATAGGAATGTGTAATGGAACTTATTAACTGAATGTAAACGACACTGCTTAGCCCATCCTACATACAGTGCAGTAGCATAAGACATTCCAGTAAAGCAGCCTGCAGGCAATAAGTAGAAGGGAATCCGTTTTTGAGGACCTCTATGCTAGTAGGTTTTTGTTTTGTTTTTTACTTTTGGTACCTATTGATGTGAAAAACAGAGGTTGTACAGATTCAGTAAGGTTGAATTTCAGGGGATCTATTTGAAAAATAATAGTTCACGTGAGTGTGAAACAAATTACTAAGTTACAGATAATACTTGATTCGCATGAGTTCCCAGAGTCTTCTTTTTGATCTTTCAACCCAGAATATTGGGTCTGTGATGCCTATATTGGAATCAGTTGTCAGGATAAATAATCACTCAAATTCTTCCCTTCACCTTTTCTTTAATTTCCTGCATAAAAAGACATTTGCAATCTCAGGTAAAATAAAAATAATTTTCAAGCCCAGCCAGTGTGGCTCAGTGATTGAGTGTCAACCCAGAAACCAAGATGTCCCAGGTTCGATTCCCAGTCAGTGTACATGCCCCAGTTACGGAATTGATCCGCAGTAGAGGGCATGCAGGAGGCAGCCAATCAATGTTGTACCTCTCTCATCGATGTTCCTATTCCTCTCTTTTTCTCTCTCTCTAAAAATCAATAAAAACATATTTTAAAAAATGATAAATCAAATAAAACAGCATCAACAAAGAAAACTTGGGAAATAGAAAAAAGTGTAAAGAAAATTTAAATCACCCATGAGTCCATAACCCAGGGAAGACTTTTAGTAATGTACATCTGTTTCTAACCAGAAATATTTTTATATGTGTGTATATAACCTTTCGATGTAATTGACATCGTTGTATATTAAGTTATATATTTGAGCCACTTCATTTAATTGTAAACCATAAGCATTTTCCCAGGTCATTAGAGGTTCTTTGAAAGCATTTTAGTAGATTATTAAAATATTCTAACAGATAGATGTATAATTGGAGATATTTTTGGTGTACAATTGTTTTAATGATATTGAAGTTTGGTCAGTTTTGACATATGAATGAATGTACCTGTAAAATGATCACCACATTCAGGATAGTAGCCCTAACCAGCGCTCCCAAAAGTTTCCTCAGACCCTTCTATAACCTCACCCTACCTTGATAATCCCTAGGCAACAACTGACTTGCTGTCTGTCATTGGAACTTGTTTGTATTTTTTAAAATGTTATATAAATGAAATCACAGAGTACATTTTCTTTTGCCAGGCTACTTTTACTCACCATAATTATTCTGAGATTTATGCATGTTGTCACATATAATCAAGAGTTTATTTCTGTTTATCACAGACTAGTATTCCATTGTGTGGATATACCACATAGACATTTTGGTTGTTTGCTTTCTGGGACTACACAAATAAAACTGTTATGAATGTTCTTCTGTGAGTCTTTGTATAGACAAATACTTTTATTTCTCTTGGATAAATACTGAAGAGTAGATAGAGTGAGTGAATCACATGATGGATATATATTTAACTTCAGAAGAAACTGAAAACTGTTTCCCAAAGTGGTTGCACTATTTTATTTTACCTTTGCACCACCAGTGTATTAATGTTCTGGTTGTTCCATATCCTCACCGACACTTGGTGTGTGAAATCTAATGTTAGCTATTCTAATAGGTATGTATTATGGTTCATTTGCTTTCCTTAATGACTAATGATTTCATGCATCTGTTCATGTGCTTATGGGAGATTATATATATATATATTCTTTCCTTAGTTTCTGTTCAAATCTTTTGCACACTTTTATCGAGTTGTTCATATCATAAGTAAGTCGTGAAAGTTTTTTTTGGTATAAGTCCTTTGTCAGGTATGTGTTTTGTATATATTTTCTTCCTGTCTGTGGCTTGTCTTTTTATTTTCTTAACAGTGTCTTTTAAGGAGCAAATGTTCCTGATATTGATTAAATGAAATTTATTGATTTTCAGAAATTCATATCCAGCTTGTGTGTTCTTTTAAAGAAATCATTAATCTTCAGTAACTGAGATTTTCTCCCATGTTTTCTTGTAGCAGTTTTATAGTTTTAGTTCTTACATTTAGATCTGTGATCCATTTCAAGTTACTTTTTGTGTATAGTACTAGATATAGATCGAAGTTTACTTTTTTGCATATGGATATTTAGTTGAAAAACTATCCTTTCTACATGGAATTGTTTTCCACCTTTGTAGAAAGTCAGTTGTCCATATATGTGTAGGTTTGTTTCTTGGTTGTCTATTTTGTTTGATGAACATATTTATATATCTTGATGCCAAATACAACACTCCTGATTACTCTGTTTTAAGTCTTCAAATTAGGTAATGCTAGTCTCCAACTTTGTTCTTTCTCAAAGTTCTTTTAGCTATTGTAGTTACTTTGCATTTTAATTTTAGAATTAGCTTCATAAATATAAAAACAGCCTGCTTTGGAATTTGATTGAAATTGGGGAAATGACATCTAAAGAATATTAAGTGTTTCCACTCATGAACACAGTATGTCTTTTCTTTTTCTTAGATCTTTAATTTCCCGTACGTTATCTTATTATTTTTAGTGTACAAGTCTTAATGCTTTTTTGGGTCATATTTTCCCTAAGTATATCCTATTTTTTTGATGCTGTTGTAAATGGAATTTAAAATGTCATGTTCTGATTGTCTATTGCCTGAATATGAAAATACAATTGTTTTTAAAATAAACTTTGTATTTTAGAACACTTTTAGATTTACAAAAAATTTGTAAGGATACTACAGAGTTACTACATTCCTCATACCCAGTTTCCTCTCTTATTAACATTAGCATGGCATATTTGTTACAATTAATGCAACAACATTGATACATTATTATTAACTAAAGCCCCTATCTTATTCAGATTTCTTTCATTTTCCCCTAATGTCCTTTTTCTGTACCAGGATCTGATCTGGGACACCATATTATATTTAGTTGTCATGTCTCCTTATGTTTCTCTTGGCTAAGACAGTCTCAGACTTCCCTTAGTTTTGATGACCTTGACCAGGGGTCCTCAAACTACGGCCACATGCAAATACAAATATTGTATTTGTTCCCGTTTTGTTTTTTTTACTTCAAAATAAGATATGTGCAGTGTGCATAGGAATTTGTTCATAGTTTTTTTTTTAAACTATAGTCCGGCCCTCCAACGGTCTGAGGGACAGTGAACTAGCCCCCTGTTTAAAAAGTTTGAGGACCCCTGACCTTGACAGTTTTGAGGAGTACTAATCAGGTATTTGGTAGAATGTCTCTTAATTGGGGTTTGTCTAATGTTTTTTTCATGATTTGAGTGGGTAATATGTTTTTGAAAGAAAGATCACAGAGATAATATATATCCAGGGTATTATAAGTACATACTATCAATATGACTTATCACTGTTGATTTTGACCTTGATAACCTGGCAGACATGATGTTTGCCTTTCTGGAATGTCATATAATTTGTATCATATAGTGTTTCACCTTTTCAGGCTGCTTCTTAGCAGTGTGCATTGAAGGTCTATCCATGTCTTTTCATACTTTAATAGTTCATTTATTCTTAGTATTGAACAATATTCCATCATATGTTTGTACTACAGTGTGTTTAGTCATACACCTGTCAACGGATATCTTAGTTACTTCCAGTTTTTGACAATTATGAATAAAGCTGCTATAAACTTTATTGTGCAAGTTTTTGTATGGACATAAGTTCTCAAATCAGCCGAGTAAATACCTTGGAGCACAATTGCTGAGTCATATGGTAAAACTATCTTTAGCTTTATCAGAAAGTGCCAACCTCTCTTCCTAAGTGACTCTACCATTTTGCATTTCTACCAGCAATTAATGAGTTTCTCTTGCTCCACAGCCTTGTCAGCATTTGGCATTGTCAGATTTTGTATTTTAGACTTTATAGTCGGTGTATAGTGATAGCTCACTGTTTTTATTTTTAATTCTCCAATGACAGATAATGTCATATATTTATTTGCCATCTGGATATCTTCTTTGGTGAGGTATCTATTTAGATCTTTTGCCCATTTTTTCATTGTTTTACTTATTGTTGTCGTAAAAAATTTTTGTATATTTTAGATACACATTCTTGTCAGATAGATATGTGCTTTGCAAATATATTCTCCCAGTCTGAGCTTTATATTTTCATTTGTTTTTAGCAGTGTTTTTTGCAGAGCAGACATTTTAATTTTTGATAAAGTTCAACTTGCTAACTTTTTCTTTCATGGATTTTGATTTTGGTGCTGTATTTAAAAACTCTTCATCAAACCCAAGGACACATATTTTTCTACTGTTTTCTTCTAGCAGTTGTGTAGTTTTGCATTTTATACTTAAGGTCTGTGATCTATATTGAGTTAATTTTTGTGAAAGATGTAAAGTCTGTATTTAGGTTCACTAATTTGCATAAGGCCATCCTAAATTTGTTCCAGCACCATATGTTGAAAAACTGCCCTTCTCTGTTGTCTTTGCTCTTTTTTCAAGTTCAGTTGCCTATATCTGTGTGGGCCTATATATAGCTCTTCTTTCTGTTCCATTGATCTATTTTTG